TTTTGCTGTGCTTTCAAGTCAGTAAATTCTTGCTCCTGCCCTGCTAAACTAATTACTTCTGTTTGGTTTGTTTGGACTTTAAGTTACAGTTTGTGTTTACTCTGTTTTGGATTTAATTTTCTGCAGTCAAAGGTTATTCTAGGGAGAGTTTTTCTCCAGCCAGAAGGTAACCTGGACGTTAGGGGCAAAGTTGGAGATCATAAAGGGACTCTTATTGATTGTCTGACTGTGTTGCCTTTGTGCCACGCCCTGGGTCATCACAGGATGGAAATTAATCAAGGAGAGAACCAACCTAGAAATGAGAAGTTTGACAAGAATTAATTAGTGGAACAGCTTGCCTCCAGAAATTATGGGAGCTCCAACATTAGAGATTTTTAAGAAGAGACTGCCCAGACATTCATCCAGAATGGTTTGGGATCTCTGGCTTGAGCAGGGGATTGGACTAGAAGATCTCCAAGGTCCCTTCCAACCCTACAATTCTATGTTCTACATACTCTTGTATTTTGTTCTCCTGCCAATTCTCATTTTGTGTGATGACACAGAATTTGCTTTAGACATTTCAAAAGAGAGGAAAATGGAGAAATTCTCAAAAGCGGTATGTGATGCTTTTGCACTTACTTACTGTATCACAGATCTCAGCAAGTGACATCTCAACTTAGATCTGTTGATCCAGATAAGAATTTGGATGGAAAACCAGCAGTACATAGCATCCCAGTGCTGGAGTTAGGCAGTGAAGAAAAAAAAAACATAAATCCAAACAAAAGAAAGTAATAATCAGAAGAATGAAAACTTATTCTACAGTATATCATTGCCAAGAAAGAAGCATAAGTTTAAAGCTGAGCTCAACTTGAAGGCCCTTTAAGGTAAGGAAACAAAGATGTTTTACTCACACAGGAATGATTTTTATCAACAGTTGGCCTGGGTGTGTCTAAGAAAAAAACATTGCACAGTTTTCCTTTAGGCCAGGATATGCTGAATTACTTAAATATTAAGAATGTTATATAGCTACATTATGCCATCAGTTGTGCCATGGCCATTCTGACTGTTTTTAAGGAGAGATGTGATATGCACAAGTCATTAACTAAATATAAATTTGTGCCTTTAACTAACACTTTCCTCACTGTTTTTTTCCTCGTATAATAATTTCACAATTGTTAGTTCTCACTCATGATTCTATAAAGGCTTTTTATAATATCACTTCTTTGTTAGAGGAAGTTTAAGATGCACTGCTTATTTCTCAATCAAACCTAGTATGGAGTTTAATTCATAGGAGAGCTTTTTTTTCCTTCCTGAATGCTACAATTATGTGCTGAAACCAAAAGCAACAAAAGGTAGTCTTTGACTTTTGACCACAAATGAGCCCAAAATTTATGTTGCTAAGTGAAACATTTGTTAAGTGAATTTTGCCCCGTTTTACAACCTTTCTTGCCACAGTTGTTAAATGAGTCACTGCACATGTTAAGTTAGTAACATGATTGTAAAGTGAACGTGGCTTCCCCGTTGACTTTGTTTGTCAGGAGGTCACAAAAGATGCTCACATGACCCTGGGACACTGCAACCGTCATAAATATGAGTCAGTTGCCAAGCATCTGAATTTTGATCATGTGACCATGGAGATGCTGCAACGGTCGGAAATGTGAAAAACAGTTATAAATCACTTTTTTTGTGACATAACCTCTAACAGTCATTAAATGAACTGTTGTAAGTCAAGGATTACCTGTGGTACACTATTTAGTGGTAGCCCTATGTTTTGGAAATGACTCTCCAAAGAATTTCAGTTGTTCTTTCTCCCAATGTTACAATGTAATCCTTTAATCTGTTATGAAGTGTGTCTCACAGAAGTCAGTAAAATTTACTCATGGATTACATCTTCAGATATACTTATTTAGGAACTAGTTCCATTGAACTTAGTTGAATTTTACTTTTAAATCAGAATGTATTGCTAAAACTTCCATCTTGGGCTTCCTTTCAGTTCTGCTCTCTTTTGTCTTTTTAAAGGCATATTAAAATCGCTATATATGTCTAAATGCATGAAGCCTGATTTGACTTTGTTCTTGATTGATTGTTTTAATGTATACTTATCAACTGAAGTTCCCATTTTTGCACCTACCATTGCTATTATCTACCATTATTGATAGACTTTATTTACTGAAACCTCCTTCATTACACCTCCCAATGCTGTTATTTTGTGCCTAAAACATGTTTTCTTACTTTAGGCAGAAGTTACAAAGCATATGTAGGAATGTCTCTGCCTTCTGCATAGAAGTTGTGTAATTCTGTTGTTAATGAGTGACAAAGTCGCTTCATTCCCACAGATTGACTCAACTTTGGAAAAATCTTAAAACTAAAATTGCTTTAGGTTCTTTAGAAACTGCCCATTTTCTTGCTGCTCATTCTAGTGCCTTAAGCTGCCTAGGAAAATAAAAGGGTAGAAAATCCATTGTGTGGCCATACTGAATAATTTGTATATTTCAAAAGTATGTATAACATGCTGGTTTCAGTGATTTGTTTGGTTTTTAGCTTTGTATATGGTGTAAACTCAAACACTATGGTTTATAAAAACATGGCTTATGACTTAGTGTGCAAAACCAGCCAGTTATGGCTTATTCAATTAGCCATGATTATACATACTATCACTTAACATGATGTGTGAACCCAATCAGTATTCTGCCATGCGGCTTGCTATAGGAGACCCTGTGCTGAAGCTGTTTCTTTAGCTATAATAAATAATAGGGTGTTGAGATTTATGCTGAATACTTGCTAGTCCTTAAATCTCCTCGTAATTGAGCCCAAAAGTTCAGGCTGAGCATATAATTTACACTGATTTGGTGCCAGAATTTTCAAGACAGCCTGGTGGGATAATAAATAGCTAGACTGTTTCATTTGAACCCAGGAGTCTTGGGCTGTTGTAAGTATAAGATGGGATAACCTCAGTGGATATTTCCCTGGACTTCTTGGCCAGACATTATTCCAGCAACACAATAAATATTCAAACACTAACGTTGCCATTGCTATAGTAATGATCAGAAGATGAGAGCCTACAAAAATTCAACCTTGGGATTCCAGCCTTAACTCTCTCATTCCCTTCTCCATTGACACAGAGACCCAGCATCAGAAGAAAAAGTTGGAAAGAATTAGTTGAACACAAGTTTCTGCAGGCAGCATAAAAGCCTGAATTTGCACAGCGCCCTTACTTTTTCCTTGGGGAAATAGTGGGGGATGAAAGGGTTAGCCTCCAGTGGGTGCTCATGTTGCAAAACAGCAGGGCTGTCTGACTCTATATACAATCAAGAAGAGGTAGATGCAGCCCAGTTTTGCTGGCTTTCATTTGTTGATTTTCTCTTTCCCTTTGGCTGCTAAATTAAAAGAACCATCTGCAATCAGAAAATCCTTTTGACTGGTAGAGCAGATTGATTAATCACTTTTTAATGTTCTTTTTCTTCCCAGCTCCTTTGCCAAAGGAGCTCCTAAATCATGTTTGTTTATCTAACAAAAGAGGTTTATCCTTGCATGCATTTTAATGTTCACATTTTCTAATCTGTTGTTTTTCGATTGCCACAAAGATCTCCCATGAGCGATATACCTCTAGAGCTGTAACATAGACACTGTGTTGTTGGTTGGTGTTTTTTTTTTCCACGCCACTTTTCTAACTTATCGTACTGGTGACTTCTTTAATTTCTTGTCTTCCTCCCAGACACCTGCTCAACTAATTCGCTGCATTTTCAGAGAGATCAAGAGAAAATTGCTGTTTTCTGCTTTGGAAGAGTGAAGGAGAGATTATTACATTGTCCCCGCCTCCCTTCCCCAGCTCAGAAGTCTGCGCACCTCAATCTCAAAAAATCTCCTCACAGTACTTGTCGGCAGGTAGGATGGTAGGATATGACAAATTGTCAAGGCTCTGCCCAACAACCTCCTCTATTAGAAACTTCAACCCCTCCATTAAATAATTGCAACCCTCACCAGAGACTTTAATTAGAACGCGCAACAAGCAGGAAGGAAGGAAGCTGGGGGAGGGGGGAGGAAGGCAGGCAAGACTCCCGCGGGTATTCTTCGAAGGCGGCGATCCCACGCTCGCTCGCTTACTCGGGTGAAAGATGCAGTGGAACCCGGAGGCGCTGGCTTCCGAGTTTTAAACCCTCCGGGGACCAGAGGCAAGGGCGAGATTCCTTCCGCACCCTTTTCACTCCCTTGGACTTCCCATTGGCCGAATAAGACCCAGCCCTTCAAGAGCGGCCCAGCTGTGGGTACCTGGACACTCAGGTTGGGCGACGGGAGGTTACCCGCCCCTTTTACCTTTTTTCGGCCCTTTCCCCCTCCGACCGTCTCGACAGGTCGGCCTTTGGGTTGGCTTGGAGTTGGGGTTGCCTCTTTCTCCATCCCCTTCTAGCAAAGGCGCAAGTCTCTCTTTACCCCCCCGCCCCCATTTCCAAAGTAGCCGCTGTCGATGGATGGGCAAAGGGGGCTCTTTCCTCTTAGCCCCTGGGGATCCCAACTGCTGGCGCGGACCTATTTTTAAACGGTCCCCTGCGCCCTCTCCCTCTGATACACACACACACACACTCATACGCGTTTGATTTCGCTTGGCTCTGACGTCGCCGGGAGTGGGAGCGGGAGACAGAGAAGAGAAAGTGGGGGGAGGCGAGACTGCAGCAAATTGGGGAAGGCCTGGCATGATCGAAAGGCTGGTTGGGGAAGGGTTAATCCGCTGTGACTGTATGTTAATGAGCAGCACGGCGATCCAAGGAGGCCGGCTTTAGCCGTCAGGCTGCTGGCGCTACCGCCGCCGCCGCTGCTCCCACCAGTGGGGGGCTGATGAGCGCCGTGCCAGTCTAGAGCCGAGGAAGGAGCGCAGAGCGGCTGTGGCGCTGGCAGCGAGCGAGCCAGCGAGCGGCAGGCAGAGGGAAAGGGTGGGAGGGGAGGGAGAGGGGGAACCAGCCCATCCACATCCCCGGAGGAAGCGGCGCTGGAAGGGAAGCCCGCGGGGACGGCAGCCAGCAAGGCAAGGCTCCTGGGAACTGCCGGTGCCAGGCAAGAGTCCGAAAGGCACCGGGTTGGGCAAAGCCTTCGCCAGTCCCAGCTAGAGCGCCGGCGGCCGGCGCCAGCAGCAGCTGCGCACGGAGGAGCTTCTTGGAGGCATGACGGACTGAAGGCAGGCAGGAGCAGCTGAACGACTTTAGGAATACCGATCGATGCCAGCCAGCGCTGGGGACTTGCGGTGGAGGATTTCAATGGTTTGGGGATCTGGGTGGATTACCGCTCCGTAATTCCGAGGCGGAGGAGGAAGAGGAGTGGGGAGGAGACGGGGCGCCTCCCCCCAAAAAGGAGCGCAACAAGAGAGTCCTCCTCCGAGCAGAGGTAAGTCTCTGGAGCCCGAAGCCCGGCCAGCCTTGGCATGTTGGGGCTTTCCTCCGAAACCTGCTCCCCGCTCGCTCTGCCAGCCTCGGGAGAGATACCGGGGGGTGAAGCTCGCCCCCCGATCCTTCTCTCCTCGACCTGTGGTTCTGGTTGTATTGTGTGATGAGCGTAGCGCCTGTCTAGAGCTGGCTGTGTGAGTCTGCTCCGGATGATGATGAATGGATGGATGGATGGATGAATTGAATATAGTCCTCTCCGAGGGCAGTCGGGAATCTAGACCCCCTCCAGCCAGTGTTATGACGCTTATTTCTGAGTACCGTTAGGACAAGCGCCCCGCTTGGCTTTTGGCGCTGTTCACCGGCAGTTTTCTAGCGCTGCAGGAGGAAGCGGTGGTGGTTGTTTTTTCGCGCCCCGCAGCCAGCATCCTGACCCAGGTGAGGGCTTTTCGGGTTCGCCGCTTTGCTACCAGACCGCCGCTGCTCCTCCATCCTAAATCCAGAGAGCTGCGCCTTCGTCAGAGCCCGCTTCCCATCTAAAGGTGGTGAGAACTGTAAAGGGGGAAGCAAACAGGTACAAGAAAGTTCCCAGAGAAAAAGAGCGCGCGAGCGCGTGGTTAGTTTTCAAGGGCTTTCACATGCCAGCCTTTCTGTCCTTAGGAAACCGTCGTTTTCCTAACCCAGAAGCTTCTCTTGGGAAGTAAATGAATCCGAACTATCCAGGAGGTTGTCCCAGGTTGGGTTGTGCATGTATTTTCTACAGAGCCCAGAATTATTGGCTTCCTAGTCAGCCTGCCACAGGGATCTGTCTTATCCCTGGACAGGGTGCATAATAGAGAGAACATTCAGTTCTGGCCTCTTTGCCCAGTTTGTCTCCTCTGCAGTGAAGGTTGCTTACAAAAATCTTTTTTGGAAAGCATGGATGGTTACCTCAGGGAGTTAAAAAGTAAAACAAAGTCCCCTTCCGCCTGAGCTTGATTCCTGGAGATTTACATGGATACATCCATGTACTTTTGTTGGCAAAATGGGAGCGTGAATGGCCATTGCCTTTTCTTCGATTGCCTTACTTCCCAGATAAGCATACAGCCCTTGATAGTTCCTCCATCCAAATGGTAACCAGAGTTGACCTTCCTTAGTTTTCCAAATTGCATGGCATGAAAATCTGCACATTCATAGGAACCTTAAACAGTGGAGGGTCGTTGATCCCTTTGGTGGCATGGATCAATACATGGATATAAAGCATTCTATGAAAGAAGACTGATTACACACCTATGTGCACATATGCATACCCAAGGTAATCTTGTATTTGCCTCCATTTCCCCAGGATTTGTGTAACTTGTGTCTTGATCAATTCTGACTGGTTATGTCGTAATGGACTGGGCTGCTTAATTGTTATTGTTTTCCAGTGATAAGTCAATGACCTTCCTTTATTCTAGGATCAGGCAACTGAAAAATGTATATTGGAACACAGATGTCATTCAAACCAGAACATAATTATCTTAAACACTGTTTATCTTAAACAGTTAAGTTTTTTTTTTCCTATGGGCAGCTGATTTTTTTTGTTCTTAGTGTAAATAACTTGAGGGTCATTTGCTTAACTAAAATCTCTCAGGTGAACCAGAAAGTAACATCTAGTTGAAGATAAAAGTGCAGTCAAAAGTTTTAAGGGCTTAAAATCAGCATATGGAAAAAGTTCTCCATTCTACCAATGTTCTCTGAATATTTATTTGAAGTGTCTTTCCATCCTACTTCAGCGCATTAGTAAAGTTCAAACAAATGAGAAATGCTTTTTAGAACCTTGAAATTATTTCTTATTTCTTACCCCTCACCTCCACCAACTCTGCTTCCCTTGAGTATATCTAATCACCTCCTCCATTAGTCCTGTCCTCCCAATTTTTATAGAATATAAACAAGAAAAAGTATAAAGCAAGATGCGTACACTTCCAATGACTCTTTGGCTGGTGAGCAAATGTCTCCACCTGCCTTTGGCTCTTTGCTTCTGTTCTACTAAATCACCTTTTAATGCTGGACAAATTGTTTCTGAAAGCAACTAAATGAAAATAATATCTGTATTCGTTGCAATGGAGACACTTGGACCCAGTGGTGGGATTCAAATAATTTAACAACCGGTTCTCTGCCCTAATGATTTCTTCCAACAACCAGTTCAGCAAACTGCTCAGGAAGTTAACAACTGGTTCTCCCAAAGTGGTGCAAACTGGCTGAATCCCACCACTGCTTGGACCATAAAGCTTTCTGAACATATCAGCTTTGATGCTGAAGGGAACTTTCTGCTCCATTCAGAGTTTCAAGATTGCTTGAATGCTCTAAGAGATGTTACTAAGTGTTTCCCATTGCAATGTTTAGGAATTTGTGCAGATGCTGCTAGAAAGAAGTTATTGTTTTAAAGCCAGTGTACAGCACTTGAAAGCAGTGATAAAAGTTTATATTAGGATCAATCAACCCATTGCTATTATACCTGTATCTCAAGCATTGTGGGGAATGTGGGTGAATGATTTTTCTGGAATTCTGCAGTGACTCCCTAGATACTCTATTTGTCTTTTTTTTAAAATGTTTGCAATTGTTCAAAAGATTGACCTTCTCAAAAGGATGGCAGATTCTAGATGAAACAATGGATGTAAGTCCCCCATCCTTACTTTCCTTGCTTACCAATTCAGGGAAAGATATGGATCAATGTGTCTGTCCCAAAAGTTCACTGTCCCACTTTTCTTCTTTAGTCTTACTTTCTCTCTATCTTTCTCTCTCTCTGTCTCTTTCTGTTTCTCTCCATCTCAGCCTAAGAAATTGCACCAGTTGTAATGCTCCTGTTTCTCACCACCAAGTTTATTCCTTCTTTGGGGAATAAGCTTTCCCCCATCTGCTGGTGTTGTAAGAACAAAGTGCAAAGCAGTGTCCCCAAATTGAGATGGGGTGCTCTTGAGACTGGCCCATTTTCTCTTTTGAAACATTACTGATTGTTCAACTAATCTTTATTTCATGGGCACTTTAGAAGAAACAGACACAGAGAGAAAAAGTTGAAGGCAGTGATACACTGAAAATTCACAGAAAAAGGTGCTGGCAGGAATATAATCACCTTTATTCTGCTGACATGAAATATTTATAGTTTGTAGCTGGTATGAGGATCTCTCCTTTTTCCTTTTGCTTCTCTCATCACTGTCATTTATTTACTTATTTAGTATAATTTTTCACTTGCTCAGTAAAATAATATTGAAACCATTTAAGAGGGGACTGTTCTTTCTGATACTTTCCCTCTCTGCCAGCTGTCTCTGCATGTAGCCACACACAGCTGTTTAGGTTCATAGCCAAGGGGTACAATGTACGTCTGTCCATCACTACAAATGGGAAAACCAGGAACTGTTAACGAAACTACTACACACATCATAGAGGCCAATGCATTGTGTTACCATCTGCTAACTAGAAATTATTCACAGTCATCTATTTAGCTGGCCAGAAGAAAGGAAACTCACCATGTCTTCTCTTCAGGTGCCTGTACAATCTTCAGATACAATCTTTCTGTCCAAAGATCGTATTTCCCTTTGAAGATTATGTTATTAATCCATTCAATTTGATTTTTCTTCTCTCTTTTTGCTCCTGCTTGTATCCTGCTCCCATCTACCGTCTTTACTTTAAACTTGCTCCCCTCCTCCCCAATAACCCTACCATTCAAATGGCAGTAAATATTTCATGGCTAATTAAACAAAAATGTGGTTTTCTAAATGTTACTCTCTTCACCACCATGTCACTTTTTTTTAAGAAGGAAAAGCTGAAGTTCATATATCAGAAGCAGTAGATTCTCAAAACTATCCAAGTTACATTATTTAGCTTAATATATGCTTCAAAGAATAATTGTCTAATATAACTTGAATCAGTTGAATAGATTAGTCATAACCCCATTTTACTGACTTCACTGAATCTGCTGTAAGCACAACTTTGGTTCAGATGTGATGCAGTGTTCATGAAAAAGGAAGCAAAGTGAAGATTCCCTGTTATAAGAAAAGTGACTGCTCAAAAGATTTAGCACATAGAGAGAGTCAAGACAGCATATGGTCTTTGTCAGGTATGGATTGCTGAGTATGGAAAATTCATGCAAGACAGCTAAAAATCTGTTCCGAAGTAAGATATCATTTAAAAAGCTTTCCACAACCTGGTGCTCTTTAATTTTTCTTCACCTCCGTTTGCTGTCCCATTGTGAGTTCCTTTCATAACTTTTTTTAAAACCTGCCAATTCACTAATGTATGAATAGTGGCTAGCAGTGATATGTTTTTAATTAAAAAAAAAACCCTATCAAAAACAGAATCCTTATCTTTAAGATACCCAAATTTCCTCCCTTCCCAGTACTTGACATCTTTCATTCTCTTTCATAAAAGCTTTGAAATACGTCAGTGCCATTTTTCGCCACTAGAGGGGGACTCCTGCAGATTAAGGTTGATAAACAGTATTTTGCATGGAGCATGAAGGAAAACACCTGTCTGAAGAATCTGCTAAATTGGTGGGTCTTCCGTGTATCTTACAACACAGTGAGGTTTTTGCATCTGTACACACACTTGTGGGTCAAAAATGTGTAAGACATTTGACTTATTGTTTTGTGACACTCTAGCTATGAATGAAAATTGCATTACTGCAGGAGAAAACAATGGGGTGCATGACAAGTAGATATAGTAAATTGGTATTTTCCCCTCTGATCTCATTTTTAATTAGAATTTTTTATCCCACCTTTGTTCCTTTATAAGTAACAAACCTAATGCACCTTCCTCTTCCTATTTTGCCCACAATAACAAACCTGTGTAGTGGGTTAAATTTACAGAGAGTGACTGGTCCAAGGTCATCCAGCTGACTTTATAAAAATGGGACTAGAAGTCACAGTCCCCTGATTTCCAGCTTGGTGCCATAAACACTAATCCTTCTAGTTTGTTTTCAGTCTCAAGCTTCCCCTGTGGTCCTTGTTCTCACAAATGATAGTGAAATTGTATTTGCAAAACTCAGAA